GGATTAGACTGACATATTTTAATATTTTATTTTAGCTACCACCACCATGTGAATCTGCCTGCACAGTACCAACAGATGGTAAGATTCCAGTAAAATTACATTAAAAATTATATATATGTATGGAGAAATTATGTATATTAACTTTATTTTTAATTGACAAATAGTTGTATATATTCATGGGGTACACTGTGATGTTTTCATATATGTTTGCAATGTGGAAAGATTAAATCAGGCTAATTAACAAATCCAGTACCTTACATACTTACCTTTTTTTGTGGTGAAAACATTTAAAATCTATTCTTTTAGCAATTTTGACATATACAGTGCATTATTATTTGTTATGGCCACCGTTCTATGCAATAGATCACTAAAATTTGTTCTTCCTATCTGTCTGAAACTTTGTACCCTTGGATCGGTATGTCCCCTTCCCCCATTCTTCATTCTCTGGCCACCAGCATTCTACTCTCTACTTCTACGAGTTCAACTTTTTTAGATTCCACATATAAGTGACATCATGCAGTATTTGTCTTTCTGTGCCTGACTTATTTCACTTAGCAAAACGTCCTCCAGGTTCCATGTCACATATATCTTTTTAACATACCACATACATATGAAGAGAGAGAGGGAAGGGGAGAAGAGAAACATTTTTAGAGTTCTGTAGTGTACGTGGGAAGAAAGATAGGCTGCTACATACTACCTTCAGTGCCACACTCTATCAGCAATTTCCCACCCACGACCCACTGTACTTCTCTGAGCTCCGTGGAGATGCCCTGAGGACACTGGGAGGAACTCCGAGGGGGCTGGGCTCTGCATCCCCATCTGGCCACAGGCTGTTTCACCCAAAAAACTGTTCTCTCCCACTTTAGATGTTAGAATTCTCTGTAAGGTTTTTCTGGTAAGAAAAGGGTTCTGCCACTTTAAAAACAAATTTGAAAATTACACTATATAATAGCATCAAGAGTAAGGACACCGAAAAGAAAACACTGACAAGTTACCTGTCTTTGCTGTTGCGAGGTTTTCTATGTATGTATGTTTGTTTTAAGGTAATTCATAGTAGGGTCCATTAAAGCAAGTACGTTATTCTTTGTTCTATGTTGGGTCCAATTTTTTTTAACAGAGATTCTGATTTGTTTTTCTTTTCTCTGAATGCAGTGGATAAGTGGTTCCATCACCAGAAAAACTAATGAGATTTCTCTGGAATACAAGCTGATATTGCTGCATCCTGTTCATCTGGAAGTATTAGATGTAAAAGTAGTAACTTTTCAAAGCTTTAAATACATAGAACTCATCTAACGAAAGCAAATTCTGCTGTGACCAACCCAATATATTCAGAATGTTATCAGTCTAAAGCATTTTTCATATCTTAACTAAGATAACTTTAGCACATGCTTAAATATGAAGACAGTTGTAATTTGGGAGTCATTTGTGAATAGATGTGCAAGAAGAGCACATATTGGATGTATATGTTTACTATGTGTTAGGAAATAAAATTATTTTGCTGAAACTTGGTTTAGAGTATTTTTATTTTAAGCTGAAGCCAACATTACCAAGTAAGTGTGGGTACTTTTTGGTGTTTGTTTTCTATTGATGGTATTATAATTCAATTTTATAATTATTAGACAAAAACTAACGTTATTTTTAGGAACCTGAGAATAAAATTCCTTATAATTAGAGTACTCTTGAAACTATACTCTATTACCTAAGTCCTGGCATCATATTCTAAAGCAAAGCTTTTTAATTTATATGATAGTAGCAGAAAGTACAACCTTGCTCACCCTTTGAAGTTATATATTAATAGTTACTTTTTTTTTTTTTTTTTTTTGAGACAAAGCCTCACTGTGTTGCCCGGGCTAGAGTGCTGTGGCGTCAGCGTAGCTCACAGCAACCTCAAACTCCTGGGCTCAAGCGATCCTCCTGCCTCAGCCTCCTGAGTAGCTGGGACTACAGGCATGCGCCACCATGCCCGGTTAATTTTTTTTATGTATTTTTAGTTGTCTGATTAATTTCTTTCTATTTTTAGTAGAGACGGGGTCTCGCTCTTGCTCAGCCTGGTTTCGAACTCCTGAGCTCAAACAATCCGCCTGCCTCAGCCTCCCAGAGAGCTAGGATTACAGGCGTGAGCCACTGCACCCTGCCAATAGTTACTTTTTTACTTCTTTACTCAACTAATTGGACCCTTAAGTCATTTACATTATATTCTAAAGTATCAACCAGAATAGCTTTGTGGTTAAATTCCTGGTGTTTGGAGCTGGACACCCCTGAGTTTGAATCCTGGCACATCTTACTAGCTCTGTAACCTTAGGTCAGGTACCAGCTACTCAACTTCAGTTCCTTCATCTGTACAACAGACATCATTCATGTAATGGCATGTGATAAACATTCAGATTTTTATAATTGAAATTTTTATTGAGGTGATTGTAGATTCACATGCAACTGTAAGAAGTAATACAGAGATTTTCTGTATACCTTGTCCAGTTCCCCCAAAAAATAACAGTTGTGAAACTATAGTATAATATCACAACCATGACATTAACTTTATACAATCCACCAATCTTATTCAGATTTCTCAGTTTTACTTTTATTAATATTTGTGTGTTATATTTTTCTATACAGTTGTTCTGTACAGTTTGTTTTTGGTCTAGCTCTGCCACCTAGACTGGCCTGATCATAGCTCACTGCAGCCTCAAACTCGTGGGCTCAAGTGATCCTCCTGCCTCAGCCTCCCAGGTAGCTGGGACTACAGGTGCACTTCTCCATGCCCCGCTGATTTTTTTATTTTTTGTAGAGACAGGTCTCGCTATGTTGTCCAAGCTGGTCTTGAACTCTTGGGCTCAAGTGATTCTTCCACCTCAGCCTCCCAAGGTGCTGGATTACAGGCGTGAGCTACCATGCCTGGCCTTGTTCTGTACAGTTCAATCACCCGTGTAAGCTTAGACACAGTTTAGACTGAAATACTGGAACTGAACAGTTTAGACACCAGAGATCCCTCATGTTGCCCTTTGATAACCATACCCACCTCTCTCCTGTCCTTCCCACACCCCTGTCCTTAACCCCTGGCAACCATTAATCTATCCTCCATTTCTCTATAATTTTGTCATTTCAAGAACAAACAGAATCAACAGTATATAACCTTTAGGGATTGCCTCTTTTTTTCCCTCAGCGTAATTCCCTGGAGTTCATTCAAGTTTGCTGTATGTATCAATAATTCTTTTTATTCATTCCTCTGTATTGCTGAGTTCTGTCACATGGTGTGTATGTACCATAATTTGTTTTACCTGTTGAAGGACATCAAGGCTTCTCCAGTTTTTGGCTATTACAAGTACAGCTGTTCTGAATATTTATATGCATGTTTTTGTTTCAAAACAAAAAATTTGCTTTCAGATAAATTTCTAGCAGTGTAATTGCTGGATCACATGATACATCATGATACATACATGTGTTTAGTTTTTTTGTTGTTGTTTTGGGGTTTTTTTTTTTAGGGTCTTGCTCTGTTACCTAGGCTAGAGAGCAGTGGTGCACACTGCAACCTCAACCTCTGGGCTTAAGCAACGTTTCCGTCTCGGCCTCCCGAAATGCTAGGATTACTACGTGAGCCACCGCACCCGGCCACGTGTTTAGATTTATAAGGAGCTACCAAATTGTTTTCCAGTGTGGCTTTACCATTTTACATTCCCAACAGCAATGAGTGGTTTAGTTTTTCCACATCCCTTCTGGATTTGGGTTGTCACTATGACTTTAGTCATTCTGTTAGATGTGTTATATCTCACTGTAGTTTTAATTTGCATTTCTCTAATGGCTAATGATGTTAAACATTTTTTATGTGCTTATTTGCCATCTGTGTATCTTCTCTGGTATAATATCTGTTCCTGTCTTTTGCCCATTTCTTAATTGTATTTGATTTTTTTTTTTACTGGAAATGAGCCTATCTGCTGCCTTCTGTTGCTAGGTTGGGGGCTGAGAGGTGCCAAGCGTGAGTAGCCTTCTGTTGGGTGACAGGAGGCACATGTCTTGCCACTGTGCTGTTCCTCTGGTTCTGGGGTCCCAAATCAGTCTTCCTTACTCTTATCATCTCTCATTGTTCTCCTTTGGTTGTCTCTCTTACCATTTCTAGGGCTTATAGTGCGCTTTGCACAGAGAAGCAGGCAAAAAGAGATCTATGCCATCTTGTCGCCAACGTTTAGATTTTAATATTTCTCTTCTTTTTGTAAATGCTTCTATTTTTAAATGATGCCTTAGTCATTGTAGTATGTGGTTTCTAAAGTGATTTATTTCTGTTAGGGTAAGAAATAAGTTTTCTAGTGAAGATTATACAATGTGTGAGACTTCACACATATTGGCCCACTAGGTAGGAATCACCCACCGTATGTGTGGAAAGGAAAGGGGATGGACTAGTGCAGGAGGAGATATTAGCAATAGTTCTGTGTGTTACCCTCCGTACAGAGCAAGGAAGTGTATAATGTTGTGTGTTTGCTAGAGTCGCCAAAACTAAGTCAGACTGGATATATTGAACAACAGAAATTTATTGTCTTAAAATTGTGGAGGCTTAGAAGTCTGAGGTCAAGGTGTCAGCAGGGCCATGTTCCCTCTGAAGGCACTACGGAAGGATGGGTTCCCGGCCTCTAGTCCACCGTCTGGTGGTTCCTCGCTTGTGGCAGCATAACTCCAGTCTGCATGTAGCATTTCCCTGTGTGTGTGTCTGCGTCCAAATTTTCCCTTTGTATTAACATAAGAACACCAGTCATATTGCATTAGGGGCCCATCCTACTCCAGTGTGACCTCATCTTAACGAACTACATCTGCAGTGACCCCATTTCCAAACAAGGCCACGTTCTGAGCTACTGGGGCTTAGGACTTCAATGTGAATGTTTGTGGGACGCAATTCAACCCATAACAACTCTCAAAGAGAAGCTTTCAGTATTTGGAAAGCTCTCTTTGTCACTGATGCTAAATAGAGATTATCTGTATACTAGAGCCAAAAAGAAAACTCCTAGAACAGGCATTCTGTAAGCATTTCTTGAGATCCGACCTTGCCACGGCACTGTTTTAGATATTGGGGGTATAGTGTTGAGCAAGACAGACAACATAATAGTCTGGATAGGTTTGGTTATGCCCAGCAATCCCCCAAAATCTCAATGGCTTAAGAAAACAAAAGTTTATTCCGCAGTCACATAAAGTGGGCTCTGCCCCTGGGTGGCTGTCCTCCATCAACATTGTACCTCCGTACTAACACGTGCTGTCTCACGTTGATCATCCTCTTGGAGGAAGAAAGTGCTGGAGTCTTGCACCGGTGTTCAGTGCATCTGCCCACAAGTGACACACATCACAGATGTTCTCATGTCATTGGCCAATGCAAGCTTCCTAGCCATGCCTGACCTCAAGGGAGTGGGGAAGTGCAGTCTTAACCATGGGATAGAGGAAACATCGAGAATGCCAGGTACTTTGGCACGTTATCTCATTTAATATACAGAGAAGTAATCTCTCTTTTTAATGAGAAAAAGGGATGCAGAGAACCTAAGTGACTTACCCAAAATCACTCAAATAGTGGCAGAGGCAGAACTTAGGCCCAGGTCATCTGACCCTGAGACCAGGAGTTATTTGCGTAGTTTGTCCACCTTCACAGTCATTAATGGGTACTTGACTCTGAGCTCGTTTTCCCATCTGCGACGTGGTGATGATGCCATCATCACAGGGTTGGAGGGAATGTGTGTGAAGGACCTTGCTCATTGCCAGTGTCACAGTGGGTGTGCAGCTAAGGCTGTTTGTTTGTAGTTGTGATCTCAACAACACTGAGTGTGATCTGTGTGTTTTTCCCAGATAAGGGAACCTGAAGCGTGGGCTGGTTGTGCAAAGGGTCTGAACGAGAATTCCTCACTCATCATCACTGAGCCCAGGCCTGCATGTGCTGCAGCAATAACAGCAATTATGTACAATCTGATGAGCATATTTGCTCTAAAAGGACCTAGCTTGTGCTTTTGCATGTAACGTTCTTTACAGTTAGAAAGAGCTGCTCCTACTGCTTTCTGGGAGTGTGTAGGCAGAAGGGAATTTGCTTTTACATTGGCAAGAACGCTGTGCAAATTGCTTCATGAAAGTGAGAGTTATAAATGTGAATCAATTGCCACATCATTTACTTTTGCCTCTGTTTGTCTTTGAAATCTTTCCCTTAATTATTACAAAACCTTTAAATTAACAGAAAACATTCACCAGGAATAAGATTAAGCAATGAGCATCACAAGGTTATGCAGCAATTTGAATTTGAAAAGAAGGCTGAGAGCAATTTGGCAATATCTCAAACATTTAAATTCATACTTAGCCTCTGACTCAGCAATTCTGCTCTAAGAGTTCATTCTGCAGAACAGTCAACCAAACACAAAGTACATGGCAGCTTTATTTATAATGGCAAAATCTGGAAAAGTATCTAAATGCCCCATAGAGGAATGGCTGAATCTACTCTCCATACCATGCAGCAGTTAGAGTGAGGTCACTGCATGGGCTGATACAAGA